GGAGGAGGGGGAGGCCGCGGGGGGGCTGGGGAACCCCCCCCCCCCCGGCTCCCCTCAGCACAGACGAGGGAAGGGGATGGGGATGCCACCAGCCCGGGGATGTCACCTCCTTGGGGCATGGCCCCAAGGGGTCCCTGGGGAGCAGGGGGCTGGGGTGGCCTCGGGGGACACTTGCCTTGGGGGGGGATCACCCCCATCCGGCAGGCACCCGGGGCTGGGATCAGCCCCAGCCTCCAGCACAGGGGGGGTCACAGGGCACCCCCCACGCACCCCAAAAGCACCAGCGTGGGTGCAGCACCCAGGACGCCTGTGGGATGAGGCGGCTGAGGGGACGGTGGGACACGGGGACGTCATTACCAGGAGGTTTGTCTTGGCTGAGCCGTGGCAGCTGCATCCCACGGCCGTGCTGGAGTTCCGGGGGCCGCGATCCCCACAGCTGGCCGGGGCACAGCTGGCCGGGGGCGGTGGGGGGGGACACAGCTGGCTGGCGCTGGCGGTGTGGGAGGGAGGCCGGGGGTCGGGGACCTGCCGCAGCGGGGCCGGCGTCACTCCGGGGTGCGGGGGCTAAGGCCAGGGTGTGCGGGAGCAGGGTCTGTGCCAGCCCTTGTCCCCCAGGGACCCAGGCACCCTCCGGTGCCGCGGGGACTCAGCACAGGGGGAAGCTGCTCACGGGGACACCCTCCCCCCCCCGGGATCAAGGGACCGTGCTTGCAAGCAGGGTGAGGTGCTGTGCCCCCCCCGGCCCCAGTGACGAGGTGACCGAGCCCTGCAGAGGGAGCTGGGGGTCCCTAAAACCCCTCAGCACCCCTGAAGAGCCTGGGCTTTGCTTGGCGTCACCAGGGAGGTGCCACCGTGCCGGGAGCTGCACGGGGACAGAGGGATGGGGACACGATGGGGATGCTGTGGGATGGAGGGAGGAACAGCTCAAGGGCTGGTGAGAGGGAGGGAGAGGAGAAAGGAGGGAGGAAGGAATGGGTGGATGGATGGATGGAGAAGAATGGGGGACGGATGGAAGGAGAGATGGATGGAGGGACAGGGGTATGGGTAATGGACAGAGGGAGGCACGGAGAGAAATCTGTGTGGATGGAGGGAAGTGGGGTGCATACAGTCTGTCCAGGGAGGGCAGAGGGACAGGGCTGCAGACAGACAGACAGACGGACAGACGCCTGCCCCAGAGCTGGGAGGACGCGGTGTCCGTGCACACACCAGCAAGTGCTGCCTGTGCCAGGCTGGGCTTTCTGCTCCCGCTCTGCCCCAGCCCAGTGGCCCCATCCCGGCAGGGAGGATGGGTGCACCCCTCACCGTGGGGCACGTGGCCGGCCCGTGCCGGGGAGCACACGGCTGGGAACACCGTGCGGCACCGGGGTGTCCCTGTGGCACGTGGCCCCGGCGCGGGAGAGGGGCCGCCACGCGTTCCCCGTCGCTCGCCGAAGTGGCTGGATGCCGCCTGTATTATTTATTTGTTTGATGCACATCGGAAGTGCCGCGCTGACGGCAAACGGCACTTTCCCCATCTGTCACGGCTGGCTGTCACCGCAGCCCGGCACGGGGCCGGCAGCCACCGCAGCAAGCCAGACCCGGGGCGGGGGGGGGGGGGAACCGTGTGCCCTCCCAGCCCCCACATGCTGCTCCCCCAGCTCATTAGCTCTAACGAGGCCAGTGCTCGCACCCGGTCCCCAGCCCAGGAGACTCCCCATCCCAGTGCCTCAGGGGACCCCCCACCGCTGCCTCCCCCCCCAGCCCCAGCGAGGCGCAGGGGGGGCCCCGCGCCCGGGGTCCCCGGTACCTGTCGATGATGACGGGGTCGGAGGGGGTCTCGTTGCGGTTCCCGCAGCTCTTCTTGTCGCAGCAGCGGCTGGGCACGGCCGGGGAGAGGAGCCGGCGTGAGGGGAGCCGGGGGGGGGCCGGGGCCAGCCCCACAGCCCCCAACCCCCAGGGGAAAACCCGCCAGAGCCCCATTTCCCACCCTTGTACCCCCCCAGCATTGCCCGACCGCGCACTGTGGAGTAGGGGGGTCCTGCCCCACAGCGGTGCAGGGGGGACAGGCGGGTGCCGCACAAGGTCCCAGGGTGCTGGGCTGTGGGGGGGGACGGACCCGAGGACAGGGACATCGGCCATGTGATGCCAGGGCACGGGGGGCCGTGGCAGAGAGGGCACCCCTGGGGTACCCCCCCTTATCCACCCCACCACCCCGCACCATGGGGCTGGGCTCCGATTTGGGGTTCTCTGGGGCTCAGGGTGCACCCCAGCCCTGGGAAATGCTTGGTGAGCCAAGGGGGGGGCTCTGAACCGGGGGTGCCCCAGCCCCATGCCATCCCTCGGGGGCTCCACCTCACCCACGGGGGACACGGCAGCGCCGGGCTCGTGCCGCCGCTGGCCAACAAATGTGGCGGTGCCGGCCCTGGGGAGTGCAGCGGGGAGGGGGGGCCCCCCGGCCCTGGCATCGTTAGCGTGGCTCCTGGAGATCAATTAGCCACGCTGGCACGGAGTGTTAATTTGCACAAACACCGAGCGCGAGGGTGGTAAACAAGAGCGGCGCTAATGGGGCACAGGGGACCGCGCACTGGCAGCAGGCAGCTGGGGCAGGCAGCTGCCCGCCTGCCCAACATGGCACCCCTGGTGCTGCTGGATACCCGTGGGACCCCCGCCGGACCCCCACCACCAGGACACCCATGGGACCCCCGCCTACCTGCACATGATCTCGTGGGTGAGGAGGACCCGGCACATCTCTGGGTTCTTGTCCTGCCCTTCGTAGATGATGGCCTGGGGGGGGGAAGAGAGCGCGCAGGGGGGGTGCCACCGCCGCCTGGCACCCTGCCCGTCCCCTGCCACCGCTCCAGCCTGTCCCCGAAACACGGACCCTCCCTGGGTGACCCCAGCCAGGCTGGGGGACCACGATGGCAGCTGGGGTGGGAGCAGCAGGTGGGAGAGGGACCGGGCAGGGAGCGCTCGTGGGTGGGTGTGCAGCCGTGCACACCTCCGAGTTTGTGCCCACGCACGCGTGCGTGCATGGCTGCGTGTGCACAGCTGTATGTGCCCGTGCACATGCTGCTGCAGGCGCTTGTGCACGCCTGCCTTCGTGCCGGTGCACAGACGCGTGTTCGTGCACGTGGAGGGATGTGCAAGCACACGTGTGCCCACTCTGCACACCTGGGTGTGCGCATACGGCTGCCTGGCCTTACAACCCCCGCGTGTGCATGCACTTACAGACATGCCCGCCTTGCACGCCCATGTGTGCGCACATGCGTACAGGTGTGCCTGCTCTGCACAGCTGCATGCACACGCACAGACGTGCCCACCAGGCACGCCCACGTGTGCACACGCATGTGCAGGTGGCCCTGGGAGCTCAGTGGCCGATGGGGTCGGGGACTGCCGGCCCGGCCAAGCCGCCAGCCCCACGCCGTTACCTGCTTGGACATGGAGTCGATGAGGCGGACGTAGAGGTCCTGCTCAGTCCGGAGCCCTGCGTCGAAAGGGGAGGGGGTCAGCCCTGCCCACACCCCCCTAGCCCCCCCGCCCCTGCACCCACCGTTGCTGTACAGCAGCTGGAGCCGGTAGTGGATCCCATTGTTTGTTTTCTCGCCGTTCTGCTCCTGGGGGGAAGATGGTTGGATGGGGGGGACCTCACAGTCCCCTCTCGGTGCAGCCCTCTGGCAGCCCCGGCTGGGCCCAGGGCTGTGGAGCCGCTCTGGTAACTCCTCACATGTGCAATGAGTTTGAGAGAGGTCTCAGCCTCTGCAGCGCAGGCTCCTGCACCCCTTCAAGAGCAGGGGGATTGCCCGGTGGAGTGACCCCCATCCCTGCCACAACCCCATCCCCACCAAAACCCCAGCGCCAGGGGGTCTCACCCGCTCCTTCTCCACGAAGTCGATGAAGGAGGTGCGCTCGATCTCCACAGGCTGGCCCTGCCGGTCGTACATGGCCAGGACGAAGTGGAAGAAATTGGATTTCCGCAGGTTGGAGGGGGGCTGCTTCTCAAAGTGGGCTCGGGCCAGGCCCACCCCGCTGTCGGCAGAAGGAGCAGGGGGGTGCGGTGAGCAGAGGGTGGCTGCCGGGACCCTCAGCACCCCCTCCCCGGCACCTCCAGCACCCCCTCCCCAGGGGTCCCCATTGCCAGGGGACAGGCTCGGTGGGAGCTGCCAAACTCCCCCAGGGTGGATGGGGGGAGCAGCCAGGACCCCCACACTGCCCCGTGGCCACGACAAGCCCGTGCCATCCCTGTTCCCAACCGGTGTCACCGTCGGTGCTGCGGGAGCCGGCGCGGTGGCGGCAGCGTGGGGGGCCGTGGGAGCCGGACCAGCCCCCAGAGCGGCAGCCAGCGAGGCGAGGGGGCCAAGATAAACACGTGGATGTAAAAAGTTCCCCCCTTTCGTGATTGAAAACACATCGGGCGACGAGGGAGGTGGGGGGGCGGGTTTGGCTCCCCCCCCGCGCCAACCTGGCGGGGGGGGGTGGGGGGCTGCAGCTGCCGGATCCAGTTCCCACGCTGTGCTGGGGACAGCCCTTGCACCCCACAGGGACCGCAGGGACCTTGCAGCACCCCCCACCCCGTGTGGGGCAGGGCCCCATGGACCTTCTAGTCCCCTTCAGCATGGAGCAGGAGCCCACAGCCCCCAGATCCCACCCCCACCGTGCCCGGCAGCACCCTGCGGACCCCACTGGCCATAGCCTAGGCAGGGGTCAGCACTGGGGTGCAAATAAGGGGGACACACACATGCACAAACACGCAGGGGGGTGACCCAGCACCCCCAGCCCTGCTCCTAGGAGCCCATCTGGGGACACAGTTTGGGGGATGATGGGCCGGGTACAACTCCCCCCCCACTGCCAGCCCGAGGGGGTGCCCACTGCAGGGGTCCATCCGCCACCACCCCCTGCCACGGAGGGACGTGGCCACTGCAGGAATGGGGGGGGTCACACCCAGCCCCCTGCCCGCAGCACCCTGCCAGGGGGGCTGTCGAGGAAAGGAGCCCTGGGGTGCAGAGACACAATGCATGGGTGAGGAGCAGGACCCCCAGAACCCTGACCCCCACTGGGCCCTAATTTAGCTGGGGACAGGGCACAGGATGGGGGCACCCCTCCACCCACAGCTGGAGGATGGAGTGGGTCCCTGAGCCCTGTCCCTGCAGAGCCCCCAGCCCCACAGGACCCCTTGCTTACACCCCGCCAGGGGGGCTGTCCCAGCCGTGGGGGTCCTTTGCTCCTGCACAGCCAAGCCCCCCCACTCCGCTCCCTCCAATGCTGCTCCCATGGGCTGGCACTGCCCAGGGCCAATCTCTGCTCCCAGGGGCATTGCTGGATGCTCAGGGACGTGGGGACATGGGGACATCTCCCAGAGTCCCACACAAGCCACAGCCACCAGCATCCTCTCCAAACAAGAGAAGAAAATGGGGCTCAGCTCTTTTACCAGCGACTTGCTCCTGTGGCCAGTCCCAGGAGCCTGGGGCAGAACCAGCACAGGGTGGGGGGGAGACCCCCCAGGCACCCTCACCTCCTTTAATCATGGTCCTTGGGCTTTAATTAACCCCTGGCATCACACTCAGCCCCAGCCCCGACCCCAGCTGCGGGCAACAGCTGAGGCCAAGTGTGAAGCCCAGACCCTGAAAACCTCAGGGATGCTTCTCTGAAGAAAAGTCTCCGTGACGGAGGAGAAAGCTCGTTAAGCTGATTGCCGGGGAGCCAAAACGTCCCCAGTCGGCAAACGCCGGGGCATGTGCCTGGCAACGCCTGCCTGGCACACGGGTGCCTGTGTGCATGGCCAACACACGTGTCTGGGCACACATGTGCGGACAAACATGTGCACACTCATGTCCCTGGGCACTGCTGGTGGCCGTGTCCTGGCACACCCCGTGGGTGGCCCTCGTCCCCTACCCAAGGCTGCAACCAGTGCCGATGGATTTGCTCACAGGGCCCATCCCCATGGCATCTGGCCCTGCAGCATGGGGTGCTGACCCCACCGGGACCCCAACCCAGTGCGCCCAGTCGGCACGCCACTCAGCTCCCCGAGGGACGGGGACCCCCGGTGCCGCAGGGACCCCTCTGTCTCCCAGCAGCAACCCTGGTCCTGCCGCTCTGGAACCCGGCCACAGGGCTGCCAGCTGATGGGAAGGTGGCACGGTGCCGGCAGGGTGGCTGCAGCGAGCCAGCGCCCGCCCGGCTCCCCCATTCCCCTCCGCCCCCCCAAAGCTTTGGCCTTAAAGTGCTGGGAGGTTGGGGGGGGTGATGGAGCCGCCAGCCCGGGCGGGTAATGGCTGCATCTCCGCTCCCAGCTCTGCTGAGACCCCGGCGTTCCGAGAGCTGAGCCTGGTTGCCATTAATTATTAAAGGCAATCAGAGCATTTCCTAGCAGAGCCCAGCGAACGTCTCTTACAGTAAAGCAGCATCTTCCCTTGGCGGAGCCGCCAGGCACCCGGGGCACCACGCAATTACGCAGTCACGGCTCCCCGGGCGGCTCCGCCAAATGGGGGGCAGAGGGGGGAGTGCCGGACCCCACCCAGGAAGCCAAGACCCCAGGTGGGCTCACCCCATGGCCCACAGCCCCTCTCTGCCTTGCCCCGGGGGCGCTGGCCCCCCTGCCCTCCCCTTGGCACACCTGGGGCAGCCCCTCTGCCCGCAGGGGCTGCAGCCATGGGTGCAGCTGGCATCGCCCAGGGACTCTGCAGTGGCCATGGGGTCCCACGGGAGTGGGGGGTCTTTTTGGGTGCTGGTGTGAGCCCCCCTGCCAGGGGTCTGAGAGGGACGCAGGGTGGAGGCAGGCTGGGTCTGGAGGTGGCGAGCACCCCAGGAGCATGTCCACATGCGTGACACTGCCGGCATGTGTGGCACATGCTCAGCTGCCGGGCACCACGGTGGGACGGGGAGGAGAGGGGGACCTGGAGGGCACCACAGGTTGCCCAGCACCCGGCTCGGCAGGGGCAGGGGTGGGCAGGGGGTCTGTGAACCCCATCCTCGTGCACCGGGCACGTGGCACGCAGGACCCCATCGGCACACGGCCAGCCACGTCCCTGCCACCGGGCAGCATCGCTGCCAGAGCCGCAGCGGTGGTCCCAGCCCTGTGTGCGTCCCCCTGCACTGCCAGAGCCGGGGCCGGGGATGAGGGGGACGGATTTTACCCCTCTTTCTCGCGGCCCCACTCTGGGACACAGGGAAGTTTCTGGGTGCGCTGCAGCAAGGCCAGCACTTCCCTGCGCCCCGGCTCGGACACCACAGCCTTCCGCCCTGGCACTGCCCCCCCCAGCTCCCTGGGGCCGGGTGGGACCCTTGGTCCAGCCGCTCTCTGGGGGCTCCAGGCTGGGCCACGGTGGTGGCTGTCCGCCCCAGTGGTGGCTGCACTGGGACGGGGCTGGGGTGGCTTTGCCAGGGGGATTGCTGCAGTTTTCAAGCATCCTCAGAGTATCTGCAAACACGGCGGCTTTGGGGGGGACCCTTGGAAGCCCCCAGGGCTTCAGCCGCAGGGCACAGCCTCTGGTGCAATCACGGTCCCCGGCGGAGAGCCAGTGGCAGGGCTGACACCGCAGCTGGGGACCCCGAGCTCGGGGACGGTGCACACAACCGGGTGATGTCGTCCACGGAGCAGGTCCGTGCTGGAAGTGCTGGGGATGTCCCGCTTTGCTGGGGCCCCATGCAAAGGGGACACCCCCCCCCCCCCCCCGACTTTCAAGCCCCTTGTCCCTGGCTGAGGGCGTGGGGCACCCCAGGGAGGCAGTGGGCAAGCTGGCCCGGGTCCCCTCGCTCCTCCGTGTCATGGGGCATCTCCTGTCACCCCTGGACAAAGCCGCAGCACGCTCCAAGCACAGCCCCCCCCTTACTGACTCCCCGAACCCCATGGCGCACATAGGGGGTACAGCAGGAGCTGGGGTGCTGGGGGCAGGGGTGAAGGTGTCCCCCAGCTGCCACTGAGACCCCTCTGGGCACAAGGTGGAGAGAGAGCAGAGGACCAGGGTGCACAGAGTCCTCCAGGAGGGCAGCGGATGGGATATGCGGAGCCCTGAGCCCGCCGGCGAGGGCAGGGGATGGGGCCAGCCGGGACACAGGAGGGCATCGGGCTGCAGCACGGCGAGCCCGGTGATGCAGGCTGCCTGAGCGGCTGCAGCGGTCCCTCACCCCAGCTGATGCTGCCAGCCCTGCCCGGGAGACAGGGATGGCACCACTGCCAGCTGTGCCCTCGCTCTGGGCGGCTTTTCCCAGCAGAGCCGCAGCTCAGGGTGCAGGTCCCGGCCCCGGTGGATGCACGGCACGGCACGGCACAAGCCCCTCACAGCTCCAGCAGTTGCTCCTGCCCCGCTGCCAGCACCCACTGGCCCTCCCAACAGGGCAACAGGCCTGGCACGTGCGGAATGCCAGGGGGCTTGGGATGCCCCAGGAACCTGGGGGTGCTGAAGTCCGCGGGGGCCCCCGGGACACCCAAGGTACCCAGGCGTAGGGGTTACCCGGAGGCCCAAGGAGCCCAGGGCATGTGGGGCACCTGGAGCGCCTGAAGTACCCGGTGGGCACGAGGCACCTGGGATGCCCAAGGCATCCAGGCTGCCCAGGGATCCCAGGGTGCTGAGGATGTGGGGTCCCCAGCGTGCCCAAGGTGTGCAGGGCGCCTGGGATGCCCACGACACCCGGGACGCCTATCGTGCCCAGGATGCCCACAGCACCTGGGATGGTCACAGCACCCAGGATGCCTGTGGAGCCCATGGTACCTGGGATGCCTGTGGTGCCCAGGATGCCCATGGTGCCCGGGATGCCTGCAGCACCTGCCATGCCTGCGGAGCCCGGGATGCCCATGCAGCCTGGGATGCCTGCAGCGCCCGGGATGCCTGCAGTGCCCAGGATGCCCGCAGCACCTGGGATGCTCCTAGAGCCCGAGATACCCACGGAGCCCAGCATACCCACAGCACCCGAGATGCCCACTGCACCCGGGATGCCCGTGGAGCCCGGGATACCCGCGGAGCCCCTTACCTCTGTGCCGCCGTGCTGGCGTCCAGGATGCCGGTGCCCTGCAGCCAGCGGACGGAGGGCAGCCCGGCGGTCAGCGGCTCTTCCTTCATGGGCAGCCCCCCCCGGGGCAGCGCCTCCTGCACGGAGAACATGGCAGGGGCTCAACGGCAGCCCCCCAACTTTCCTGCCCCGGGCCCGGCAGCGGAGCTCAGAGCCGGGCAGGTGCCGGGGGCCGCCGTCCCGGCCGCCGGGGAAGCGGCATCTGCGGCGGGTGGCCGGGCGGGAGCG